TACCCTACTTACGCTACCCTACCTTTTTTTTTTTTTTTTTTTGTTTTTTGCGGCACTGGGAAAAATGCTATTACGCATACCCTTCCCGTCGGGGGACGGGAGAGGGTTATGTGGGACTCCCCGGTAAAGTCGTTCCCGGTATACCCACTAAAAAACCCAGTGGCACTCCGGCCTCGCCTGAGTGGAGGGGGTCTGGGAATCCATGACGTCCAGTCCCCCACCGGCGACTGCCCGCCTCATGGCAGGCCCCTCAATTCCCCCCTAGGGAGGAGCCTTTATGATGGCCGGAGCACGGGTGATGCGTGCGATGCTGGCGCTTGCGCCCCCGCGCTTGTCGCCTGCTGATCACCCCCTGGAGCAGATGAGGACGGACGTAGTACACGCCGTCTTCGTGCGCCCCTTCGTCGTTGGCGGAGCGGCGCTGCGAGAGGGTCTTCTTCCCGTATGCGCTCCGCCGCCTCCTTCTGTGACGTGACGTCCTCACAGAAGGAGGCTACCGCTGTCCATGCCTCCTCACTTCCCAGCATGGATGTTATTACGCTGGGAAGTGAGAGGTCGTCCCCGACCACTGCAACCAAGGCGCGGCGGGGTTCATTCCACGCTGGGCACACCTCTAGAGTGTGCTCTGCGGTATCTAACGTGGCGCCACAATGGTGGCACTGTGGCGATTCCTCCCTCCCTATTCGGTGCAGGTACGACCCGAAGCAACCATGCCCGGACAGCACCTGCACCAAACGAAACGACAGGCAGCCGTGCTGCCGATCGAGCCAGTCATTCAGGACGGGCCCGATGGCGTCCAGCGTCCGGCGGCCAAACGCTGCGGAGGCGAGTTCCTCAGCCCAGTGCCGAGTGATGGCCTCCCTAACCTCATCCCGCACATTTTCCCGTTCCCTTGAGCACGGGGAACGGTTGAGCGCCCTCTGCTCTGCCGTCCAGTCGTACAACCTGGCGAGCACCCAAGCCTCGAGTTCCCAAGGAGGGGTTCCCGCCAGAGCGCACGCCGCTGCGAAACCCACTGTGCGATATGCCCTCGCCACCCGCTGTGCAATGGCCCTTTGTGGCCTGCGGATGGCAGCGACGTTCTCCCGTCTGCACAGTGAGTCCGCCCAGATAGGTGCCCCATATAGGGCCATGCTCTTGAGAATGCCGGCGTATAAACGCCGACATTGGTCGCCAGGTCTCCCGAGGTTAGGGAGGAGCCACGAGAGGGCGCCCGCAGTCCTCAATAGGCGCGTCGACAGCCCACTGAAGTGTGCGCTGAAGCGCCACTTGCTATCGAGGACTAGGCCCAGGTACTTCATCTGGGCCTGCACCCCAATGCGGACACCCTCCACGTGGATGTGGGCGTCAGGCGGTTGGCGTTGCCGGGACCCGTGGAAGAACACGGCCTCGGTCTTGTGCAGCGCCACCGTCAAACCTAGGCGGGAGACTCTCTCCACCACCTGTGAACCGCCTGCCGAGGCCAAGCTGGCCGCCTCTCCGAAATTTCTCCCCCGGGCAGTGAGGAGCGTGTCGTCTGCATAGCAGATGACAGACGTGCCACGGGGGAGGTTGCCCCGCAAGAGCCAGTCGAACCCGATGTTCCACAGGAGTGGTCCTAGAACAGAGCCCTGCGGAACACCGGACTCGACGCGGTACCTTCGCAGCTGGCCAGACTTGTCCACCAGAAGGACAGTGCGGTCCCGCAGGTAGTCCGCCAAGAGTCCCCGCAAATAAGAAGGCACCCCGTGAAAGCGGAGCGCCTCAAGAATGGTGGAGTGGGGAATGGAGTTGAAGGCGTTGGATATGTCGAATGACACAGCCAACAATCCATCCCCCGCATCCATCGCCTCCCTCGCCTGCCCCTACGCTACCCTACCTACGCTAACCTACTTCTACTTTACCCGATGTTCTTTTTCTGGTTTTCCACCAAATCTCAACGAAATCGTTTCAGCCGTTCTTGAGTTATAAATATTATCCTTTATTAATACATTGACTAATTGAAACATAACCCATTTATTTACGTAACTATTTAAAAATAAGTAAACAGACTTTATAGACACGTACAAACGAAACCCATTTAAAACCGTATAAAAGAAATAATAACCAACATTCCTTTAAAATATTCACGAGCGCCTCTATGCTCGGTTCCCGTAGACTGTTAGAGCAAGTTGTGCCATCTCAGGTAATAAGTAAGCTACTGTTTCAGCTTAAATGCTCAGACTTGCCGCTCGCAAACACCGGACCCGATAGTTTAGAGATGGCCATCGAAATAATCGTAGATGTCGATAAATTAATTTAAATAATATATAGGAGACACGGATAAGGCTCAACCTGAGCGATACAACGGCTTTAATGGCGTGAAATATCGCACGCGTTGCGTACTCGAAGCTCCGTCTTCAAGCCTTAAATCACCAAATCCCTAACCCTCAAAATCCCTTCAACACACTTGTAATTGTAACATCTCTGGTGTGTGTCTATGACTGGCGATGGCTCACTATCACACTTGTTTTTCGTCCTATGACATAAAAACATAAAAAATCTGTCTAGAATCGTGCCCTGTATTAAATGGGACTCCTATTGTAGCTGGTCAAATATGGGTGTATTTTAAATATATGTATTTTTCATTCACACATTAAAAGATGTGACATATTTATGCAGTGTGTTTGATCAGTGTAATAACCTAATTATTATACAGCAGTCGTAAATAATGATAGTTATAAGTAAAAAAATATAAAATGACCTAAAAGCAATTGTAAATAATGATCCTTTTAGAGACTTCCATCGTAAATTAAAACACATCGTACACTAAAATAAAACCATCGATATCGATAGTGTATTACGCACATCACTTTAAAAACTGGTCAGTAAGCGAGTTGTATATTTTCTTGGTCCGTAAGTCCGGTGTTTGGGAAGTTGGCAACTTGTCGAATTATTGAAAACTGCTCAGCCCCACAAACCGATAGATTTATAGTTTGTCTTAGCGGACAATGCGCCATTGTATAAGCAAAACTGTTTGTCCTGATATAAATTATAACTTCAACTATTTAACTTCGTTGTTACTTGAAAATTCTAGAGTCGATTGTTGTTATTGGTATCGAACTTATGTAGATCGTACAGTATTGATTGAAGATGATGTTGTTTAAGGAGTAAGTATTGAATAAATACTCTCAGAGAATCTACAATTTGGAATGAGTACCTAGCTTCACTGACGAACAGACTGACAGACTACTATTCTATTTTGACGTTTCAAAAGTACCTATTTATGGTTTGGTTGGAATAAATGATTTTGACTTTGACACTCGTGCGTTGGTATGCTCAAGGTTATTGAGGGTACTATACGCCTTACAAAACCACAGGCAAAGCACTTGTAAATTCTCTGGTGGCGGGAGTCCATGGATACCACCGATATCTTTCCATCAGGTTACCATTACATATAGAAATACAATAATGCCGCCATATTACATAAAGAAAATGGTCCAAAGACCTAATTCCCAGTATTTAAATACCAAAGTTACGTGACATTTTATTCCGATACATTTTTGGGTTCGTTTCACCTTTTTAGAATACCCCCACCCCCTTTCTAAATATATATTTCCCTTATATGCTTGAACCTTTACAGGAAAAATATATTTAGCTTGTAACTGGGTGGATACAGGAAGATAGGTACTAAAAGAATGTTGTCACTTCTATTGATAGGATTTTCAACTCTATTGCAAAGTGTTTGAATTTAAAATGTAATCTAATCATTGGTGTAGCTTGATGTACATTTGTATATATATATATATATATATATATATATATATATATATATATATATATTATATATATATATATATATATATACTTATTCGGGTATACTACTTATATATATTAATTGCATACATACTTGATAACAAGTGTTATACATTATAGCCTTGGCCAAAAAATCGATATTTCAAGTTATTTTTTTAAGGCAAAGCTATGATATAAATAAATAGTTGAAATATAAAGTATTTTTTTTATTATGAATGATCTCTGTTTGGACAATTTGAAAATAAAATTGTCCAACAAGAACCCAAAAGATGACGAAACTAAAGAGGCATAATTTTCTTTGTCCCGAAGTCTTTGGCTACCCATATAGGATACTATGGGTGCATAGGTATAGATGTGTGTGTAGTTGTGTACGTATTTTATAACGAAAGCAAACCAAAGTAAATGCAAATTAATATATAAATACTAATAAGGGAACTAGTAATACATTTGACTCTCAAGTTTTCAGGAAACGGATAAGCCATTGTGACGTCGGGAAGTAGCGAAGATTTCCTGGCAGCAATAAATTCGCTTGGAGTTTTGGCAACGGCTCCTCGCCTAGAGAATGGGTGCAGGGGCAAGACAGAAATGTACGGGTGCGGGTGAATTATATGTTTACTACGTTTAATACACGTGTTTTGTTAAGACATTGTAATATTCCTGGAGGGTTGTTCGAAAATAATGCTTCCATTCTATTATAATATTGAAATTTGATACTATGATATGAAATTACTTAAGTAAAAGTGTTGTTTTGAATAAAATATGCAATTTATTTAAAAAAAAGATGGGATACGTTATTTTATTTACTTAAACGTTTAAAAATATTATTCACTATATCATCTGCGCAGCTTTCCACGAAAGATATCGAAATAAATCACAATAAATATTTTACAAAGACTTTTCCGCGATTGTTCTGAGCTCAAGACTTGTTATTGTAAAAAGAGAAAAACGTCGGCGAGCCAGGAAGCGGGTAGCATCGCATAACGAGCGAGCGCCCCGAGGTTTGGCGCCAACCGTCTCGAAAGTTCTTAACCTCATTAAACATCGAATAATTCCAAGTAATTTCCATAAGGAAAAGATAAAGACAAGACGCGGGAGACGCCATTTTGATTTTTCAAATATCGAAGGGGAGTCTAGGGGTTTTTTTTTTTTTTTTTGTGAGGGGAAAATCATCAAATGACTTCTCCCGCCCAGGGCCGGGCAGGAGGGAGTGTCAGACTCTTACTGACTAAAAACCCCCCTGTTCCTTCTCCTGCTCTGTGCCGAGGTCGCGGTACCTCATTGCGCTTACCCCGCAACCCCGGCTGAACATCAGCCCTTTAGGGCCCCGTCTGTGGTGGTCTATTGGCTCTTTGAGGCGCGCGCGGAACGCTACGCGCCGTACGCTCGGGCCTGGTTCTGGTCGGGCGGCGAGCTGCCCTTACTCGCCGACCGCAGGCCCGTACTTACGGTGGCCGGAGATCGTCCCTCGATCCCCGACGCCCGTAGTGTCGCCAGTTGCGGCTGCTGGGGCGTGAGGAGGAGGATTGCTCCCTCACGCGGGCCGCCTCTCTCTTTGCGAGCATGACTGCTTCACAAAAGGAGGAGACGGCGTCCCAGTTCCTCTCACTCCGCACCATGGCCTCGACTAAGGCCGGGCGCGAGAGGTCGCCGCCGCCGATCACTTCCCTGAGGATACGGCGGTGCTCAGCCCAGGCAGGGCATACCGCTACCGTATGCTCCACCGTATCCTCTAGGTGGTCCTCACAATGACGACACTCGGGCGTTTCCTCCCGCTGAATCCGAAACAGGAACCTACCGAAGCTGCCGTGCCCGGTAAGCACCTGCGTCAGACGGAAGGTGAGGACGCCGTGGCGTCTCTCAAGCCACTCCTCAAAGAGGGGTCTTACCGCTGCTATGGTAGCGTGCCCGGCCCTCGGTTGCGACAGTCGTTGTCTCCACTCTGCCATGAGATCTCGCCGGAGCTCATTCCGCCACGCACTAATTTGGCGCGGCAGAGGATCTTCGCCCCGGCGACGCGCGTCTGCGCGCAATCTGTAGACGCGCGCGAGCGCCTTCGCTTCTAGATCCCACGGCGGTGATCCGGCAAGGAGGTTCGCCGCCTCCCCGGAGATCGTGCGATACCCGCGGATTACTCGTATAGCCATGACCCTCTGTGACGCGACCAGCGTACGAGCCGGCCGCCGCTTCAAGTCCGGCGCCCACACAGGGGCACCGTAGAGGGCCATGGATCGCACAATCCCCATATACAACCTCCGGCAGGAGGCGTTTGGCCCCCCGAGGTTGGGAAGGAGCCGCTTGAGCGCGGCCCCAGACCGTTCCAACTTAGGGGCCAAACGACGAAAATGCTCCGTGAAGTTCCATCGGCTGTCGAGGACGAGACCCAGGTACTTCATCGCCGACTCGACGCCGATGGTAACTCCTCCCGCCGTTACTTGGGACCCACCTGGAGGTGGCGCGCTCCGACGGCCATAGAAGCACATGGCCTCGGACTTGTGGAGCGCCACCTCGAGTCCCAACTGCCGGATCCTTGCAACGACTGTCGCAACCGCTTGTGACATCAGGTCGGCCGCCGCCTGATGCGACCTCCCGTTCGCCAGCACCAGCGTGTCGTCAGCATAACAGACAATGCTGACGCCGCTCGGGAGGTCGGTGCGTAGCACCCAATCGTACCCGATGTTCCACAGGAGAGGTCCCAGGACCGATCCCTGTGGGACACCGCGCGACACCTCTCGCCGATTCCACACGCCCCGGTGACCGGGGTAGATGACGCATCTGTCCGTCAAGTAAGCCTCGACTACACGACGGAGATAGGCAGGCACCCGGTGATACCGGAGTGCCTCCAAAATGCAGCTCCAGGGCAGCGAGTTAAAGGCGTTGGCGATGTCCAGAGACACCGCCACGACGACTCGCCTCCCGGCCAACGCTGTCCCCGTCGTGAGGTCCCTCACGCGCATGATGGCGTCCACCGTGGAGCGCCCTCTGCGGAAGCCGAACTGGCCGTCCGCTAAATCCGGCCCCCTTCCAGACAGGTGCCCGACGAGGCGGTCTGAGATTATCCTCTCGAACAGCTTTCCCACCTCGTCGAGCAGCACAATGGGCCGGTACGCGGACGGGGAGTCCGCAGGACGCCCCGGCTTCTTCACGAGGACCAGTTTACCCGTCTTCCACGACAGCGGAAACTGGCCTCTCTCCAAACATGCGCTGAACAGACCAAGTAGTCGAGGCCTGAGAGCCTCCGAGGCCAGGACCCAGACCTTGGCATGCAGCCCGTCAGGTCCTGGGGCGGTATTCTTGCCGCTCAGCCGGCGCACCGCCACTCTCAAATCTACCTCGGTCACTTCCGGAGCGGATTCGTCGTCGTCGTCGATGTAGCCCGCATTGGGCACCGCAGGGGGCGGGGGCATAGCCGGAGGCGTGTAACCCATCTGTGGTCGGGGGAATAGCGCCCCAACCACTTCGTCCACGACCTCCGGCCGGAGACTCTGAGTCAGTGGGGGCGCCCAGGTGCGGAGCTTATCACGCACCATCCGGTAGGGGCGTCCCCATGGGTCTCTGTTCAGAGTCTCCAACATCTCCTCGCGGGCCCGATCTTTGGCCCGCCGGATCTCCACCCTGAGGGTGGCCTTCGCCGCCCTGTACTCCTCGTATAGCTCCGCCTCTCTGGTTTCAGCGTCCAGAGGGCGGAGACGGAGCCTGCGGTGCCTGGTGTATCGGCGTCGCGCTGCGGTGCACTCACCGCGCAGGTCTGCCAATTCCTGCGACCACCAATACACCTGGCGCTTGCGTTGGCACGGTCGGATCCGGGGCATCGCCACGTCGCACATCCTTGACATGGCGTCCTGGAGCCATCTCGCCTCCTCGTTAATGTCGGCTGGCCTGACCGGTGGTATCACCCAGGCCTGCACGACTGCGGCTTCCAGGAAAAGCTCCCGGTCCAGTTGCCTAAGCGCCCAACGCGGGCCACACGGGGCCTGTCTGACTGGCGGGTCTGCGGACTCGGCGGAAACGTCGAACCGTATATACCGGTGGTCCGAAAACGTCTCCACCTCCTCCATGACGCGCCAGTCAACAACGCGCGATGACAGAGCGGGGCTAGCAAACGAAATGTCCACCACTGACTCACCCCGCATCCGTACGCACGTGGGGACAGAACCCCGGTTCAGCACGACTAGGCCTGTCTCCAGAGCCCAGTCTTCGACCATCCTTCCCCGGACATCAGTGAGCCGGGAACCCCAAGCCAAATTCTTGGCATTGAAGTCCCCGAGGACCAACACGGGGAGCGGACGGAACCCGACGACGACGGTGACTAACTCCCTGAGGGAGTTGTGGAACTCGACGAGAGTTCGGTTCGGAGAGAAGTACACGCCCACCACGGCGATCTCTCCGAACCGAGCCGCGACGCAACCCCTGCCTCGCTGAGGCCCTTCGGGGGTTGGGGTACCGGCGGCGGCCGACGAGATGATGGTCACCGAGCCGTCCAGGTCTGACACCCAGTGTTCCCTGGCTGGAACGAAGTACGGCTCGGAGACCACAGCAACATTGATCGACCACTGCGCCATGCTCTGGAGCAGGAGATCCTGAGCAGCGACGCAGTGGTTGATGTTCGCCTGGAGGAGGCGTAATGGAGCCATTATTGGGTATCCATCACGACCTCCTCTCTGACGGCAGCGGCGACAGCAGCAGTCGCAGGGGTGTTGGCGACTGCGGCGGCAGCGGGAGCGACGGTGGGAGCGGTGGAGGTGGCTACGGGCCTACCTTTGCTCCTGGGTTTGGTGGGGGGGGAGCAGGTTTTGCCCCCAACCCGGTGATCGGCCGGTTTGCCAGCCGCCGCACATACTACGCAGTGCGGCGGGGCGGTACAAGCGCCGGCCCTGTGACCGGGCTGACCGCAGCGGAAGCAGCGGTCGCTGCGGTCCACCTCTGAGGAGCATTTGGCACCCACATGGTGACCCACAAGGCATCGGTAGCACCTCAGAGGCCTGGGTTCCAGCAGCTTTACTTGCGCTGACACCCAGCCCACCAGGAGCCTTTTGCCCTCCGACAGTTTTTTGGCCGCTGTGACGGGGCAGCTGACTACCACAGTCCGCAGCCCCGTATTGTCCGGGCGGATGGTGCCTGCCTTCACCTGATCGGCAGGGCACCCCCCCGTCCTGGCGACAGCGGCCGCCACCTCGTTCTCCGTCACGGAGTCATCCAGGCCCATGATGCGTAGCTCCAAGCATTTGGTGGGCCTGGACACGCGAGCCTCATCCGCCGCAAGGCACGTCCTGAGCCTCTCGGCAAGGGCGTCAGCGGATGGGCCGCTGGCCGCGCCGGGGACCTCCAAAAGACGGGCTCCAGTCGCGGTGACCCTTACCGCGAACCCGTTAGGGGCCCCGAACTCCGCGGGAGTAACCGTCCCCTTCAATTTGGCGAGGACGTCGCCGTATGTCACCCCCTTCTTAGCCGCGTCCGGCTGTAGCGTGATAACTACAGCCGAAGATTTAGGGGTGAGGAGCATTGCCGCAGCGCGCTTCTCCCTGCGTCGCTGCTGTCGCCGCTGCCGCTGCTCCTTCTTGCGGCGCTTTCTCGCCTCTTTGGCGCTCCTTCTCGCCTGCCCGGCCACCTGCCACCCGTCGCCATCGGTGCACAGCTCTGATAGCGGGGTTGGGGCTGCAACGGCTGGAATTTCAGCTGCTGCGCCTCTTCGCTTGCGGCTATTTGGTGCCAGAGGCACAGCAGGAGCCGGTGCCGGTTGAGCTATAGGCGTCCTCGTCAGCGGCGGGGCTCTCGGTGCTTTCGCCGCAGGGGGCACTTTCGCCCTTTTCTCCACCGGGGCGTCTGCTCTGGCGCCGCGGCTAGGTGGCTGCTTCGTCTTCGCTGCCGCGGCTGCATAAGTGCCAGTTGCGAGTGGGGGTCGGAGGAGCCTACCCTCCAGAGCGTCGAAACGCTGCTGGAAGGCGGCCATCTCCTGCCGCATGAGGCCAAGAAGGTCGGCCTCCACTGGCTGCGAGGGTTGGGGACGACCCGCGCGAGCAGCGGCGAGTTCCGCCTTTGCTGCACGAAGTTCCGCCTCCAGGGCAGAGTTCGCAGCCGCTAATCGGGCCAGCTCGCGCCTCATTCCGGCCATCTCTTTTTGCAGAGCGGTCATCTGCCGCTCTGCTGAGCCCTTTTGGGATACCGCCGACATTATTGCGGCCTCCGCGTGCTTAAGCACTCCGTTTCTGCCAGCCTGGGTTTTTTGCCCAGCCAGCATGCGGAGTGCTTCCTTAACCTGGAGGCGGAGGCTCTCAGCGCCGCCTACAGAATCCTCACCTCCGGACACCTCCATCTCCGAGGAGTCCGAGGGGGCAGCCTTTCCCAGGGCGCTCCCCTCCGCTGCCAGCCGCTCTGCCGGCTCAGAGCGGCTCCCAGCCGCCCTCGTGGAGCCCTTCCCCTTGCCCCTACCCCGCGCCGCCGTGGGGATTTTGGGGGCCGGAGCCTCCTGTTCATTGGAGGAGGGCCCTCGCCCGTCCTCCAGCCTGGGGCGTTTGAATGTCCCTCGGGCCTTTTTCTGGCGCAGCGCTATGCTTGTGCCAGACTGCGATGTTGAGTCGGACTCAGAGTCCGACTCCTTCCTGCTTGAGGCACGTGCACATGATGCATCTAGCACCTCGTTCATATTTGCAAGCGAGCTGACCTCGCTTGCGTTCTCCTCACCGTTAGGTGGTTTTTTATTATTTTTCTTTATAGGCATCTCCATTGAAGTCCCACGAGTATGGGGGAAATAAGAGGTCCGCCCAGGGAGAGCCCCCTGTCCCTGGGTAAGTGTGCATTTGTCTCCCAACTAGGGGGTCCACCAGTCCCCAAGCTGGGGGTGCGCTCACGACTGATCCTACTCCTCAGCCATACATACCCTCGCCGCGCACCAGAACTTAGTATTGGAGGAATTTTTTATAGAGGTTATCTTCCTCGCGGTCCGGGCGGTTAAGCCAAGACCCTCGTCCCGGTCCGAGTCATAAAACATGACCATGATCTCTTCCCGGATTACGATATCGACGGGTGCAGTCGGGCGCAGCTAGTGCCCCGATGCTACTCATTGGCAGGGTGAGTGCACAACGAGCGCCGCCCTTGTTTCTCCACCCCGCTCTCTGCTAGGTCCAGAGAGTCGTGCGGAGGAACGCCCCCACGGAGGCGTGGACCCTATGCCAGCATAGGGCCGGTCGCCTCTAGAACCCGACCGGGTTCTCCGCCCGGCCAGAAGTTCGCTGCGGGCGACAGTCAGTCCAACCCTGTCGCCATCCCGTTAGGGAGACTGTCGCCCGCACCCAGGGTGCACCACGGGGAGGTCTTCTGGCATGCACCCCGGAGTCTAGGGGTGCGCCCAACGATTTGCGAATTCGCGCTCTCAGCGAACGTTTCATTGCGTAATTTAGAATAGGGCTGTATTTTTTACCGATTCTTCACCCCAACTTACGCAAGTTGCTGCGGTGGCGTTTTAGAAATGGAATTATTATAAAGTTAATGTTCTGAAGATAATAAAAATGTAATTTATTGGTGTTTGATTCGATACGGATATGTTTTGTTATCGATTAAGGGAAATCTTTATGGTTTATTTATTTATATAGCTGATATGATAAAGTTGTACTAAAGTGTAGGTATCATCCCTATAGATATTTTTCAACCAGCTAACCTTGGCAACGGTATAAATACTACACGGTTCGGTAACCGGCGACATCGGTATAAAAAACCTCTGAAAGTAAACAAACATTGAAAATATTTATTCACCGATGTCAGGTTACGAACACATATGAATAACAACTTCTTTTACAGTAAAACCATACGATTTTACACTTTATCCTGGGGGATTAAGAACGTGTATGTCTGCATATTTTTGTAAGGCATGCATCTGGCGGGTGACAATTCGGTCTATAAATAATTTATGGATTAATAAAAGGTCCGGTCACGTGGTGCGGCCGCCATTTTACCCTACAGCGATCCTCTGATGATAATTAGCGAGGACTGAAGACAGGGAACGGCGTAGAGCGCCCCAAATGCCAAAGAAGTTGTAATAGCTAGCTGTAAACTATGGGTTCAGTAAAAGACCTGTAGCTATATTTAACTTTGTATTTTATATTTCTTATTAGTAAAATAAGTCGCTCAATTGATATTATTAAACAAAATTATTTAAAATGGCGGTTAATTTAAATTTGCGGTAAAACATTTGACAAATGATGCCGGGAATTCTGTTCGAGCTTATGAATAGAATTCCCGCCATTGTATTGAAACTATACATGTTAGTGATATTTAAAAAAAAATTGATTGTCTACTGAAGAACTTGGTGTTTACTTTGGAGTGGAGTCATATAATAAGTAACTTACTAAAGTGCTACCGTGGTTTTCTTCAGCCTATTGGTTACGATGTGGATTTTGTTCCACGATCGAAAGTTATTGAGAAATTGAGTTCTTTTTCTTTCTAAAGAGTATGTTTCTAGATTGAATATAAATTGTATTTGACTATAAAAAAATAAGACAACAATATCTACACAAATAAAGAAACAAATAATATTCACATCAAATCAGCTCTATACGTTTCCATGTTCAACACAAGTCTATTCTGTATCCATTCTGTGGACACAAACTAATTTGTCTTACACGTTCACCGTTGTATGTTGATAGTGTTACATGCTGGTTTTTAAAATAGAAACTCTGAGATATATCAATTATGGTTCATTTCACATTGTCTGAGGATTTCTTTTTATTCTTACGTTCGGCTTGTGGCAATTTAATGGTTTCTTAATCCAGTCCATAGCAAAATGTATTGGCAAACAAAATGCTATTATATTTATGTTATACTAGTGACTTCGTTCGCATGGCATAGTGACTTCCTGCAGATTTTTGGTATAAAAACTATCCTATGTCTTTTCTCGAGTTCCAAACTATGTCTGTTCCAAATTTCACAAAAATTGGTTCAGTAGTTTAGGTGTGAAGAAAAGACAGACAGACAGACAGAGTTACTTTCGCATTTATAATATTAGTTTGGATATTGAGTAAACATTACATGTCTCAGTACAAACGGCAGTGACTTATGTATGGCGGTGCGCCGGCTGAGCGGCAAGAACACCGCCCCAGGACCTGACGGGCTGCATGCCAAGGTCTGGGTCCTGGCCTCGGAGGCTCTCAGGCCTCGACTACTTGGTTTGTTCAGCGCATGTTTGGAGAGAGGCCAGTTTCCGCTGTCGTGGAAGACGGGTAAACTGGTCCTCGTGAAGAAGCCGGGGCGTCCTGCGGACTCCCCGTCCGCGTACCGGCCCATTGTGCTGCTCGACGAGGTGGGAAAACTGTTCGAGAGGATAATCTCAGACCGCCTCGTCGGGCACCTGTCTGGAAGGGGGCCGGATTTAGCGGACGGCCAGTTCGGCTCCCGAAGAGGGCGCTCCACGGTGGACGCCATCATGCGCGTGAGGGACCTCACGACGGGGACAGCGTTGGCCGGGAGGCGAGTCGTCGTGGCGGTGTCTCTGGACATCGCCAACGCCTTTAACTCGCTGCCCTGGAGCTGCATTTTGGAGGCACTCCGGTATCACCGGGTGCCTGCCTATCTCCGTCGTGTAGTCGAGGCTTACTTGACGGACAGACGCGTCATCTACCCCGGTCACCGGGGCGTGTGGAATCGGCGAGAGGTGTCGCGCGGTGTCCCACAGGGATCGGTCCTGGGACCTCTCCTGTGGAACATCGGGTACGATTGGGTGCTACGCACCGACCTCCCGAGCGGCGTCAGCATTGTCTGTTATGCTGACGACACGCTGGTGCTGGCGAACGGGAGGTCGCATCAGGCGGCGGCCGACCTGATGTCACAAGCGGTTGCGACAGTCGTTGCAAGGATCCGGCAGTTGGGACTCGAGGTGGCGCTCCACAAGTCCGAGGCCATGTGCTTCTATGGCCGTCGGAGCGCGCCACCTCCAGGTGGGTCCCAAGTAACGGCAGGAGGAGTTACCGTCGGCGTCGAGTCGGCGATGAAGTACCTGGGTCTCGTCCTCGACAGCCGATGGAACTTCACGGAGCATTTTCGTCGTTTGGCCCCTAAGTTGGAACGGTCTGGGGCCTCGCTCAAGCGGCTCCTTCCCAACCTCGGGGGGCCAAACGCCTCCTGCCGGAGGTTGTATATGGGGATTGTGCGATCCATGGCCCTCTACGGTGCCCCTGTGTGGGCGCCGGACTTGAAGCGGCGGCCGGCCCGTACGCTGGTCGCGTCCCAGAGGGTCATGGCTATACGAGTAATCCGCGGGTATCGCACGATCTCCGGGGAGGCGGCGAACCTCCTTGCCGGATCACCGCCGTGGGATCTAGAAGCGAAGGCGCTCGCGCGCGTCTACAGTTTGCGCGCAGACGCGCGTCGCCGGGGCGAAGATCCTCTGCCGCGCCAAATAAGTGCGTGGCGGAATGAGCTCCGGCGAGATCTCACGGCAGAGTGGAGACAACGACTGTCGCAACCGAGGGCCGGGCACGCTACCATAGCAGCGGTAAGACCCCTCTTTGAGGAGTGGCTTGAGAGACGCCACGGCGCCCTCACCTTCCGTCTGACGCAGGTGCTTACCGGGCACGGCAGCTTCGGTAGGTTCCTGTTTCGGATTCAGCGGGAGGAAACGCCCGAGTGTCGTCATTGTGAGGACCACCTAGAGGATACGGTGGAGCATACGGTAGCGGTATGCCCTGCCTGGGCTGAGCACCGCCGTATCCTCAGGGAAGTGATCGGCGGCGGCGACCTCTCGCGCCCGGCCTTAGTCGAGGCCATGGTGCGGAGTGAGAGAAACTGGGACGCCGTCTCCTCCTTTTGTGAAGCAGTCATGCTCGCAAAGAGAGAGGCGGCCCGCGTGAGGGAGCAATCCTCCTCCTCACGCCCCAGCAGCCGCAACTGGCGACACTACGGGCGTCGGGGATCGAGGGACGATCTCCGGCCACCGTAAGTACGGGCCTGCGGTCGGCGAGTAAGGGCAGCTCGCCGCCCGACCAGAACCAGGCCCGAGCGTACGGCGCGTAGCGTTCCGCGCGCACCTCAAAGAGCCAATAGACCACCACAGACGGGGCCCTAAAGGGCTGATGTTCAGCCGGGGTTGCGGGGTAAGCGCAATAAGGTACCGCGACCTCGGCACAGAGCAGGAGAAGGAACAGGGGGTTTTTAGTCAGTAAGAGTCTGACACTCCCTCCTGCCCGGCCCTGGGCGGGAGAAGTCATTTGATGATTTTCCCCTCACAAAAAAAAAAAAAAAAAAAAGTGACTTATGTATATGTTGACAAAAGAAATGTTTATAAATATGTGCTTTAAAAATCAGGACCTGTACCTACGCATTTTGTAGTAGTAGATTTTAGTGATGATAAATTTGTGTAGATTTTTTTTATAATTTGACGTCTAGTAGTCCGGTTTTATGTCCTAAGTACCTATTTACAAAAATTAATTCACTAACATAAATTTTAAAAAAATATGATTCAAAACCACATCCAAATGATTTGTGCGTCATTTATTTGTGCAGTCCTATTTCTCAAAAAATATTTAGAAAAATAAATTAATCCTTTGTTGAAATCAAAATTATAACACAAACAATATTGTTGTTTTTATGTACAAATTAGAAAAGTCTGACTATAGTCTAAAACTTTATTTTTATTTAAAGTAAAAAAACGAGTATTAGAGACAAATAAATCTAAGTATTTTTGACATAAAAAAGGTACAGAATAAATCAGAAACCAAAGTAAATCTAGAGTGTAAGTTCGTACGTCTTGGACGGGCGTGGGCCCGCGGCTGGAGGGCGGGCGTCACTTCCGGCGGATATGCTGTTCGCTACCACCTTCACTCGTCTAATTGCTATTCCACTTACGGGCCTAATCTGATTACGTCGTGACGATTGGTTTACGATATACTTACGTACTTACATATACATGTAAATACATAATTTGTATTTGTATAAATATTTAGTTTTTTTTTCATTCCTGGTAACAAACATACAGGTTGGCCTAGTTTGGCGGCAATTTTTTTTATATGATGGTATGGTAAACGAGTATACGTACGGATACTTGTAACAACGGAGGAGGTACGAATGCGTCGCCGAGCTTTTGGGGATTAGGGGTTTTGAGATTTTTGCATGGATAGGGATTGAGGGAGGGAAAGAATTGGACCTTTGGTAACCTCACTCACATGGCGAAGACAACGCTGTCTTTTACGCCGGTTTTCTGTGAGGCTGTGGTATCACTCCGGTCGAGCCGACCCATTTGTTCCGAAGCATAGCTCTCCCACACTTACTTCATCTTCAATTGGAAAATTCAAATTCATATGATTTTTTTTATTGCATTCCATAATGTTACATCAGGTGTTATGTGTATACCTAGGTGTTAAGATTATTATGGACCCGGGCGGGCACAGCAAATTACAAAATATTAAAATTAACATATACTTAATATGAAATTATAAAATTAAATTGTATTATGAAATTGATTCTTGTAATGTGATTCCTTATCTTCTTATAAATAATAATGGATCGCAAAATGTGTTGGTAAGCGCATAGGTAACTCAACAACGCCTGGTTCAATTTTGCTAATTCTTTTTTTGTTGTGTTTGGTATTGTCAGGAGAAGGTTCTTAGCAAAGAAAATAATAGAAAAGTAGAGTGGAAGATTAGGAAAAAGCGAGCGAAGCAACCATGCGAAGCGGGGGCGGGCCGCTTGTAAGTAATAAAAATCTTTTATTTTTATCTCGCTTTCGGTCATTCTTGCTTGTTTTAGCAATATCACATTAAATTAAACACTTTAATTTGTTTTTCAAATATTATAGGTACATCTTCCTTATAATTTCTCCCACATGATACTTATGTATAAATTATGTACCTATGTATATACAAGTATGGTTATGTGTAACACGTTTCCTGTATCTACTGGGAGTGGTGTCCACTTATCAGTTGCCAAGTAGGTAGACTAGATATATTTTATGCTGTGGTACAAGTTTTAAATTACAAGCGGAATAGAGAATTTGTTTTTATTATAACTATCGTGAGACATACTAAATTAACTAAAAATCGCGGGTTACTCACATGTAGAGTTTTGAGAAAAGCTCTACTAGTTTCGAACCACAGAGGGGTTCTTCCTCATGAGCAGCGTGCGCGGACGCGGCGATGTCGCGCAGCCTACTTAGTTAATTTGGAATAGAAAATTGTTCTAATATTTCTGTTTTAATTATAAATGCTATCTAAAAATTGTATTCCAGTATTCTTCTTCATAGTAGTTTCCCGCTTGAAGGAGCCACTCCTTCAAGCGGGAAGCCTGATGTCATATGTTTTGACACGACGCCTTTCTTGTTGGGACGCCTTACTCTTGAACTCATGGCCTGGGCAATTTGTTGCCGTCTTTATTTGGTCTACTACGTGCTCTGGTACAATCAGAGTTTCGTTGTACTACTAGACGCTCTATAGAGCCGTTACTCGACCGGGGCCATGGGCAAGGAAAAAACTAATATTATAAGTGCGAAAATTCTGTAAGAATATAATTATATAAATGTATTTATAATTTATCTCCTTCACGTTAAAATTATTGGAGTAAGATTATGAGATTACAATTTGCAATAAAATAAAATGATTTTGTATGTAAATAATATTACGAAAATAAAAAGATCATGATTACAAAGTAGCTAATAATTTTATGCCAGTTTTTTAATAAACATATTTACAAAAAGGTTAGACGTCATAGTCGACTTATAAATTTAAATATAGAACGTAATAACACTTAATTTTACGAGTATTTATACGAAGAAAAAGGGTAATCAGGCGCTAACAGAATAATATATAATGAACATCGCTTATAGCTTATTTCTTAAGCCACGGCAAATGCGAGGGTCCAAGTAAATCGTCTCAGCGTGTCGCCGAGTGTATCTGTGCTGGACGGTACATTACATGCATCGATACACCGAACGAGGGATAACCTGCCCCGTGCCCCGGTACCTTCCGTCTACAGGTTATGATTGTAGGGTTATTTATATTAATCATACCAGCAAATACGAGAAATGGAACGTAATAAAACAATTTGTTTCTTTAAGGGCAATTTTTCAATAGTCAGATAAATGTTACCTGAGTAATAAAATTGTTGCTGTCACTGTTTTATACAAACATTCTGACGCGACAGCATCATAGTTATTTCCCAGATAACTTTTATCTAACCATTGAAAAATCAGCCATAAAGTAATTACGATTTTAACCTTTCAATCGTGGTAATTTGAGATACAAAAGTAAGACAATGAAATAGTTTGATGAATTAAGTAAAAACTGTATACATTCTTGCCTGTGTGATGAAAAAAAAGTTACATTTGAGTAGTTGTTAAAAGGTTTTGAGAAACTATTCTATTGGGATAAGTAGTTAAAGAATGATTGGATTAAAGATTCCGTTTTCAGGTGAATTAAGCACAACGTCGTAACACCATCTGTCATCCATCTAAACTAGTTTCAAAACGATATTGTTTTATTGCCTCATATAAGTAACCTCAAATAAAATCCTGAGTGATTAATGGTCGACTGTTTCACAGCACCTAAGGCACTAAGTCCGCCTGTACCTACCTACATGTATTTGAATAAAGTGTATAAATAAATAAATAATGTTTTTTTGGAAAAAGCCCCGCAACCTATCGATTTATTTTTAACTTTGCTTTTAAATATTTCAATAACGATAACTTGTGTCCAATTCACACTACTATACTGTTCCAAAAAAAAGCACAACCGAGTGTATTTCGTTCGAACTTTGTTCCCTTTTTTTGCCATATTCTTAACTAGAAGACGGAAACATACCATACCTTAGAAATGTATAGTCAGGGGTCAAAAATACAATTACACTCTGCCAATTTCAAAATGACTAAAATTTCTTTGTAGTAAAAGTTCAATGGTTCACAGCCAGTTTATTCAATAATTTAGATTCTATGCTATAAATTGAAGCAGCCATTCTTCATTCCTCAACAATTGACTCTATCCTACAAAGATATTTTGGTCATCTTAAAATTGCATTTTTGAATCTGACTGACTGAACCTCCCTCCCTGACCTCAGAACGCCCCTAGAACATATATACATATAAACATATATATAAATACGTAGGTACTTAACATAACAACAAATATTAGATATTTATGTGTGTAAGCAATATCGTTAATCTTACCCTCTCCCTATAAACCACTGCAATGTTGCGGTTTCGAAGCACTCAAATATTGAAATCGATCAGTTATGGGTATCAACCCCTTATTATTATCATATATTAATCATATTTATGTAAAACTAGCGGTCGCCCGCGGCTCCGGCCGCTTGGATGTCGATTATACACTATTCAAGAATTTTTTTTTCTACGTAGAAACCTTCTCTGTACTTCCACAAATAATTTAAGACCAAATTAGCCGAATCATTAGAGGCATTGTTAAGTTATAACATGACAACGAAAAGTGTCATTGATTTTTATCCTCACGATTTTTCTTCACCGTAGGTTTGTGGTGTCTAAATGCACTTTTGAAAAACCATATTGGTGCTTACCAGAACGTCGATTCTATAAAATTTGTTTGAATTTGAATCGTGTTCGAGTGCGAAGTGAGCGTCGAAGTGACGGGGAAATTAAATGTTAGAATGTCACTTTTAACGTCATCTCATACTTTATCTATCAAAATGTATCAAATGTAGCGCTAGTGTACTACTACTCACAGCGGATTCAGTTTCGAAATTTAGAATGAAGTCTTACAGAATCACACTGCAGGTATCGAAACCACCTCTTCAGGCCACCGTGACATCATTCATCATGTAGTCTTTAATGAAGCTACCTTTTTCTAACCATTTTTAACCTCAATTTGCAAGCAACGTTTACCGTCTCTATACTGCATCTACCTAACTAACTCCATTTTCATACCTTCGAAATAGCTGTTACAACACAAATATACCTAATATCTTAACTTATCTGGATGCCTTATGAATAATGAAGAAAGTGTCTATCTATTATCTATGATATTGAGTTTTAACACTGTGATGACTGTTGTTCCCGGGGAAAAGATACTATCGTCTTCGATCGTTCTTTACTCTTTCTGTAAAGCACCTACAAATAGTTTTTCCGGTTCTGGTTGTGATATGTTTTTAAACGCATCTACCATACAGGAGAAAATCCAGTGGAAGGCGATCAACATATTGAAGAAAAAAAAAATGGGACTTCCCTTTCACTAAAAAATATTTGTTTTATTCTACCTATTATCTAGCCTTAGAAAACCTAGGACTGTAAATTATTCGAATACCTAATATCGATCTTAACCCTAAGTTTGCCAAAAAAGTACGAAAAAACCTTGAGCGATACTATACATTTATAATAAACTGCCATTCTTAAAAGACATCAAACAAACTCCACGGAACCACTTCGACCCCTCGCAAAAAAGGGTTGAAGAAAAAAAATCGGCCTAGCAAAGACGCAATTACTTCTACACAAAGTTTTACCTACACACCCGAAATTCATGACACATCAAAACTCAAAAGACATAAGGTTTAAAATCGCGTGACGGCTATTTTTTTATGCGCAAAAGTATCGTGGTTCAAGAGCTTGCTAAAAGCACGCGGGTATCAAAGAAATACGTCTAATGAATCTATTGATAGCTCTAGTTATGTGTGTGTTGTGTATTTTTTAATACTTTGTGTGTGTTGTTTGTGTGTGTGCAAGGAGGGGAGATGCTAAGAGATGCTTTCTTCGGACCCTCATTTCTTATAGGAGTTGTGACTAGATTTGATATTTGCGTGGTGATATTTTAAGAGCCAAAATTATTTTTTTGGGATGCCATCGTGAAATAGACATTGAAATCAATTATTGAGAGTCGGCTGCGTGACGCTCGACATGTTATCGAGCAATCATATTCATGACTAAGGGCCCCAGACGTGTCTTGAAACTAGTCAAATAATCTCTCTCTCTCTCTCTCTCTCTCTCAAACAGCTACGTGTAAGCCGGGTACAAAAAATTTTTTGTCTTTTTCTAGTTTTAATTACATGGTCAATCAAGTCAATCTAATAAAATGAAGGTAGCAAGCAAGCTTATGCATAATTTGTAATTTTATGCACTTTTATTGACAGTTTCACTGAAGCAGTTCAACATTCTTGGCAGCTATGAGAATGTCTTACGCAGTGTGCAGTCTCAGTCTGGCATGAGAAGTTACCTACTTAACTTTTTTTTCCAATTTTGAAACACAAATATCTACGAGTACAGTTCTACAGGGACACGATAAACTACACAGACTTTATAATAATGGCTGGGCGACTGGCTGCCGTGCAACGTGTCGTGGGTTCGATACCCGCACGGAACAACACTTTGTGTGATCTACAAATTGTTGTTTCGGGTCTGGGTGTCATGTGTATGTGACATTGTATGTATGTAAACGCACCCACAACACAGAAGAAAATCCTAAAGTGGGGCAAGGTTTCTTTTTTTTTTTAAATATGCTAGAGAAAGTAAATTATCCTTATTATTGTTAAGATACAGTAGAGATATTCAACATGTACCTATATCTTAATTACTATTATTTTACACAATAAAATTTAACGAAAAACTATTTCTAAACTAAAAACTATCAAAACTATAGTATCGTTCAAACAAATCACTCCCCTTATTTCACTCGACTCCGCCGATCGTCTCAAAGTCGCACACAGACGCGTTTCGCACTATTCCTACATTTACACACACACACGCAACATGGCCGAGGGGGCGCGCGCCCTTGCAAAACTCCTCCTTTATATTTTCTTGCTTTGTTATGTAGAGAAAAAAAATAATAATAGGAGAAAGGGGATCTTAAAATCGATACCCGAATGGCTGTATGTACTTATTATTGAATCGGTCTTTTTGTTAAGTACTTTTTTTTATTTGGAATTGCAATATGGCGGATGTTAGCTAAACTTTTTGCGAATTTTAATGAAGTCTTAAATCTTATTTCTATTTCATTTAAGAGCGCGTAAGACGCTCGGGCACTCGTATTTAACTTCAAGTCAAAAATCTCAATTCAAAAATAAAGAACGGAAGAGGCGACTATAAGTTGCCATATAAACATAGAATCGCGATTAACTGCTCGATTTCAGTATATCTCCACCAAGTTTTAATTAACTCGGTTTAGTTTCCATTTTATTTGAGAGTCAGTATCGCGAGTTATGCACATTACAACACATATGTCGGCGATTCATTTTTATGCGAAAAAACATACAGGAAACTTACTAACATACAAGATATTTTCCTACGTAAAAAAATTAACTATTTTAACTTTTTAATAATAAAAAAATTGTCAAGTTTAAATTACCTCTACACTTTTAATCATTGATTTGATTATATAAATATCTCTTACATATAAAAACGAATTGCTGTTCGTTAGTATTGCTTAAACTTGAAAACGGCTAGTTGTTTTGAATAATTTTGGTCTTAAAACGTTCGTTGAAG